GGGAGAAGAGGAAAGACTTGTTTTCCTTTTGTAAAGAACAAGATTGCTAGAAGGCACTAGGGATAGAAACTGTGTTCTGTTGGCTAGTAAAGGCTCTTCGTAGTCTGGATGCAGGTGGCTATGAGCCCCTTATCAGGAGCCACAGCAGCCAAACCCCAACAGCTGACAGCTAGCTGGGGAAGATATTTATTAGAAGTAAGAAGGAAGCGAGGGAAAGTGTTTTGCATCATTTAAACATCTCCCAGCTTTAGAGAAGCTGTCTCTTCTTGGGTAAATTTGCAAGGACAGGAGGATGTGTCCTGGGTGGCACTGACCACAGCTCCAGATTTCCAGGAGAAAGAGATCAAACAGAAGAGGGGAGGGACAGGCGTGAGAGGAATACGTTGGCTGGGCCCCATTCCGTTACAGCAGGAGCCTTGGAGTATACACTCAAGACCCACAGACAATAGCTCATGGCTCAGAGGACTGGAGAGGTTCTAAAACAATGCCACCTGCTTGCTTCTCTTGGGGGTCCATCCCTGTCATGTGCTCCATCCTGAGTCTGCCAGCTCTCTCCCATCAATCAGAGGCTAGAGACAGGCCCAATGCCAGCACAGACTGGGGTGGGGGATGATGGCGTGGGATGTGTGAGGGGGGTAAAATCCAGAGTGAGGTTGTGGCTTGGGGCACTTGGAGGAACAAACCCAGTTATCAAAGTCTGAGCAAGAAAGGAAAAGCCAGCAGCCCCAGAAAGGTCCAGGGAAGATCTATTAGGAATTGCAGGAAGGTATAAATAGTTAATGTACTCACCCTTAACCTAAAGCCTGTTGGTTCAAGTCCACCACAGGAATTCCAGAATCAAGAACTTGGTGATCTACTTCCAAAAATTCAGCCACTGGAGACCCCGCAGAGCACAATTCCGCTCTGACCCTCGTGGGGTCACCATGAGGAGAAGGCACTGAGTCAATGGCAACTGGTTACTGAGAGTAACCTTGACCCAGCTGAGGGGGACACCAAGTCCACTCCACCTGTGTGTGGGGGGCATCCTCTGTCACCTGTGGGTCCCCTCGACCACCTGAGAAATAATCAGTGCAGAAAACGCTAAGACCCAGGGCGCCACGAGATGTTCTTTCCAAATGGATGTCCAGCTTGAAACTATTCCTCCCTTTCAGTACACTATGAATAAAAAAATTAGTGAGAATGAATCGTTCTATTCATGCTGTGAAAAGTGGAGGGCCAGAGAGACAGGAAGACCCTTAAAAATGGATTCACACAATGACTGTAACAATGAAAACAACTAAAGCCAGTCAGAGATTATGAGGATGGCACAGGACAGGAGAAGGTTCCAATACGTTGTTCACAAGGTCCCTAGGAGTTGTAGTCAGCTTGTGCGTACATAACAAGAACAGCAACTTGATCACAGACGTGATCTTTATCTTAACCAAAAATGCAAGAACTTATCAGGAAAAGACTATAGAAATAAAAGCCTATCTTGCTTAGTGGTGTGGCAAGAAGTACAAAGGATGGAATCCAGTTACTAATCAGCGGGGTTATTTTGGACAAGAAACTTTAAAGCTCTAGACCTCTGTTTTCCTCCTCTGTAAAAGGAGAATGATAATACAATAGTGATATTAGCCTCACAGACTGACATAAAGATTAAACAAGGCCACACATGTGCAGGCGTTAGGCTAGACCCTAAGGCAGACTTGGCGCTCAATTAATAGGAGATAATGTTAAGCATAATGTTTATTATGCCTAATAGATTGTACTAAGTGAGCATGAACGTGCCTCAACACTGCCACACGTAGGTCTGAAATTTCTGGTTCATGTAGGTCTGAAATTTCTGGTTTATGATTGTTGAGGACGAAGCCTCTTGCTTGCTATGCTAAAAACAGCCTTGTGCCTGGATACACAAGTCATAAAAAGAACATCAGGCATGCTTTCTTCTTTCTTTGCGTCCAGTGACATGAGACCAGCATTCAGATACCAACATTTGCCCCATCAGAACACCCTAGGCCTGCTTGTCAGGTTGTGCCAATAGGCAGAGCAGGCCTTAGAGCCTCACAACTTCTCCTCAGGACAAACAGTCTCAGCAGGTGCTGGAGACAGGCCTCCAGGAGCAGCTGTCCAGTCAGGAGGGACAGCACATTTGACAAATTTCTGGTCAGCACACAATACAAACCAACACCTATTCAGAGAGGCAGCACCACAGCTGGCTTGTACAAGATGGTCCCAGGGTCCAGGCCTGGCTTTCCAGGCCCCAAGAGAACCTGTGAAAAGGACAGGAGAGGAGCAAGCAGGGAGAAGGTAAGTCCTCTTCACGGAGGATGGAGCAGGCGCAGTGGGGTTAACTCCTCTTTCTTCTCTCCCTTTTTCCTCCTAACTGGAAGGTGATAGGATTCCAGCCCCAGAAGTGGACAGGCCTGGAGGATACTTCCTTAAGGACCTCCAGAGGCTAAAAGGGATCTAAAACCACCCTCTTTCTAAAAGCAAACGAGATGAGGCTTTGTAGGTGACAGTGTAGAAATGGAACTACAATGACATGCCTGGACCACAGCAGAGGGCATGCTTGCTGGGTGTGGCCACTACCACATCAACTAGTCTCAGAGGTGAAGTTTGAAAAGGCTTCCATACCACACAGACCTCAATCCTGATCTCCCTCGGCCTCCCCACCTCTGTGACAGCTGGGCCACCAACCTTGCTCCTACCCAGGACCCTGCTGTTGTTGTTGTTGTGTGCCTTCAAGTTGGAATTGACTCATAGCTGACCCTCCAGTGGGTTTTCAGAAGCGGGGCAGAGATTGCCCATTGCTCTCTGTGAAAGCAGCTGGTGGATTTGAACCGCAAGCCTTTGGAATTGTAATGCAGCTTCGTACCACTAGGCCACCAGAGCTCACTCAGGACCCTTTGTTGTGATGTGCTATTGAGTCAGGCGACTCATGGCAACCCTATGTACAATAGCTCTGAATCCTGCTGTATTCCGAGCCAATCTCATCATCTTTGACAGACCTAATCCTGTTTCTCCAGTCACTGAGTTAATCCATCTCATCCTGGACCTTTCTCTCTTTCACTGTCACTCCACCCTTTCAAGAATGATGTCCTCAAATCCACAACCACAGGGGTAGCATCTGTCATCACAGAAGGATTCCAGGTCCCTCACTTCCCCTGGTCTATCAGAGCTGGGTGGCTGTGGTACATTTATGAGACTGCATCTAGAGGTAATATCTAGTTCAAACGGGGGGTTATTGATGTGCATCATCTCAGAAGAAGGAGGGGCAGGAAAGCAGGGACCTCCCATCACCTCAGTACCTTGAGGGTGGGTGACACAGCTCAGTGAGTCTCACAGGCTGTATGTTTTGTTGTTGTTTCTGTGTCACTGCATCTACTCGTACCTTCTTCCAGACCCACATGGTTCCTTCTGAATGCTAGGGCCCAACTACTTCCACCTCCACCCTCGCTCCGATTCTCATGGGCACATACTTCCCCAGCCAGCTCAACTTTAACCAAGGACTCAATTGCTTCTCTATTTTTTTGAGCAAGAGCAAAGGACAGAGGACACCCTGCAGGGTGATGTGAAAGCATAGATTGAGAAACCACCCACAGGCCTGGACAGGGGCAGCCAACAAGGCCAGCACTGGCCCCTCGCCCCATTTGCCACCCCACATGCCCCACCCCCTGGCTGAGCACTGGAAGCCTTCTTTATTTGACTGTCCTTAATCTAGGACAGTTCCCTCCTTCATAGACAAAGTCCAGAGTCCAAGGTTTGGACATCAAAAGCCACTGTCAACTCTTTACTCTCTTTTTTGCATAGTAATCAAATAAGCCTCCATCCATGACTAAATTGTTAGAAATGGAAAAAAAAAACCCAAAACAAAAAAACACAAAACACCCCACCACGATATTCTACCACCAGTTAAGCCAAAATGGGGAATTAATGGTTAATCAGCATTATCATGCTTGGCAACCCTCCTTTTCTCTCCTTCCTTCTCTCCTTGTGCCTAACACATGCACAAACAGAAGTACATCCCCATCTCTGGAGGAGATCTTTAAGTAAGATATGACTAGAAATGGTAGGCACTGTCCTCGGTCACTTTGGGAGGACACCAGAGCAGAAAATCTAGCCAGCTTGCACAGTTGCCTTGATGCCACATTTGAAACCAGGGCTGTTTTAAAAGTCCTCTTCTCTGGGCCTCCTGTAGGTGGACTTAAGGTACAGCTACCTGGATTATACACATCTTGCTGAAGGAACAGGAGACATTTTAGGCTTGTTTTAGGATTAGGCAGAAATACAAAGGAAGAAAATAACCTCCCCATACCTTGTTCCCTAGGAGACAAGAATCTTACAAAACAGGTCAGACAACTTTCATGGAACAGGAAATTTTCACTTGTCACTAAGTCAGTCAGTTACCACAATCACTTCTCCCCCTAAATAGCACAGACAAGCAGGGCTGTCTCTGCTCCATTCGAGAAAGCAGCAGTAGGCCAGCTGTTTCATGGTCTGTGGTTCTTATTCCTACTAAGAAGCAAAATCTTCCCTGGAAGATGGAAAAAGTATCAGAGCTGGGAATAAATTAGGAGGAAACACACAGACCCCTCCCTTCCTAGTTATTCACGGATGTCCTCTTCGGAAGTTCACAATCTGACAGGAAATGAGTGCAAAGGGTGTCAATATAGAATATTTTGGTTTTCTTCCCAGATGGCATCATTTTCTCTAGTTGTTGGGCCTGATGTCAATCAAATGTGTGCCCAAGAGGAAATCAATGCAAGTACACATAACAAAGTGTTGGAATTTCTTAAAATTTCTTAAAACTGCCAGAGAGTAGAATCTGTATCCTAGTTGCTTTAATGAGACTAGAACTCATAGTTTCTCATTTTGTAACATAACACCTCAGTTACGTCAGCACCCCCATACCTAACATCAGAAAGGCATGTGAGGTAGGGTATCCTAGGAAATGGCCCACAGGGAAGAGATGCAAGTACACATTCCTGGCCCAGTACAGGCAGTTTGGTGAGGATACTTACTTGGGCTCCCCTGTGGGCTTCCAATACCTGCAGAAAATGTGCTGCCCATCAGCATTGACGAAGTGAGGGAGGTCCTTGTACGAGGCACTCTGTGGAGTGTGCCTGGGGGAACTTTCCTCCGGCATTCTGGAAGGATCTGCAAGTCCTTGAAAAGAAGGAAGATATTGTTCCATGTGAGAAAAAAAAAATGGCAAAATCATATGGAGACAGGAGGAAAGTCTTGTTGACAGTAACGTGTAAGAAGCAAACAAAACAAAAACCACAGTTTTTAAAAATTCCATTTCCAAGATTTAAGCATACATAAATTTCTCGCAAATCTCTCCAAAATGGAAAAAAAAAAAAAAATCTCGTTTGTTCTTAAGTAAAGGCTCACTTTTTTAAAATACCTCATGACAGCTACCCCTTTCCCATCTGTGTTTAACTCATTTCAGGACACTTAATCTTAACGGTTATTTTCGCTGTAATCAAGTGGAAATTATAGTCGGTTCAGCGTGTACAAAACCCCAGCTGCAAAAAGACCCATCTATCTTAAAATCTCGAAGGAACAGTTTCATGGGACACAATTATGAGGTGGATGAGACTCCCGGGGATGGAATTCCAGAGCAGCGATGACAAACCTGTTTCCATCATGTCCTGGGTTTGCATTCCAGAAGGGTGACAGTCTGCAGAATCAGAGCCAGGCAAATAAGAGCTGCTCCCTCCTCGGGGCTGTCACAGGGCAGCGTTCACGCCCAGCCTGAGCCCCTCTCCTAGCCTCCATGCCTGCTCTACCCTGCAGCCCTCTAGGATCAGCCTTTTTGGTCCTCCAAGTGCTCCAATCAAGGCAGTCTGCTGCCAGCTCTAAGTGGCAGGGTCTCAGGGACCCTAGCATTCCCCAAAGCGGGGGACAGGCGCTGACTGTTCTCCGTTAGTTCATCTCAACACTTTTCCTAAAGGAGCCACTGGAGGAGCGCACGAACCCGGCACCCACAACCCAGGAACCCGCTCTGCGCACACGCAAGACATCTCACATACCCACAAATGCGGGTCCCCGAGACAAAGTCACCCCCGGAGGTTCTGACAAACTTTGCTTCCTATCTGTCCCCACCAGCAAAGCAAATGGAGTTCTGCGGCTGTCATGGGAAATGTCACAAGAAAAACCAGGAGGCTTGGCTCGGCGTCCCTGCCCTGGGCATAGTGGGGACTGGAAAGATGGACTGGATGGGAACAAGTTGATTTGGGGCTCGGTGCGAGGGCGCGGAGAAGACGCGCGCCCGCATACACGCCCTGCGCGTACCCTGCGCGCACACACTCGCGCGCGCACACAGCCAGGCGCCCCGAGCCCCGCCGAGTGTGTCTGGGGGGACCTGGGTGCTGCGCCCAACCCTGGCCGGGCACTCGCGGGCGGGGCGGGGGCCGGGAGCCAGCTTTACCGGGGCCACGAGCGCCGCTGTCCGAGTTCCCCGTGCGCTGTGCGGTCCTCGTCTGCGGAGCCAGGGCCAGGTCGAGCTGCGCGCCTCCGGCACCGGCACCGTGGTGGCAGGGCGCGGCGTTTGAGCCGCCACTTTATCCCTGGGCCGGACTCCGCGGCGGGGGCGGGCAGCCCACGGTGGGTGGGGACGCGCGGCCCAGCGGGGCGGCGCGGGGAGGCGGTGCCGGGCCCACGTGTGCCGGGCCGCGGGGAGGAGCGCGGGGTGCAACCCTCAGCCTGGCCATGCTGCCCGCCTGCCCCACCGGCGCCACAGCCCGGCCAAACTGGGCACCCCTGAACCTGGCGTGCAAGGACACACCGCACAACCACGCATACACACAGCACACACGCGCACAGGACACTACACACACAGCATAGCAGATACACCAGACACTCACATAGGCACGGACAGGATATCCACAGATAGCATATCGTATACACCAGACATACCTACAGAGGCAGACACCACAGTCACACAATTAGAGGTGCAAACAGATATGCATATATGCACACACAGACACATCACACCCACAAAGACACCCAAAATGCATAGACTCATACAGAGTCACAGAGACATGTATGGACATATCCGAGCATACAGACACCACACAAACACAGCCACACTCAACATACATACAAACAACATACATACGAACAGCGCACATAAAAATACCCGTCTATACATACTACATGCAGAGACATAGCCAGACATAGGCAATACAGAGACATACTCAAGGTCAGACACTCACACAAAATAAGCTGAGAGTCTCCAGGCAGACTGGCACCTGCGTACAAATGTCTTATCCTCAATTCCCACTTTCAGCAAACAACCTTCTGTGGGGGGAGCCAGGCACCCTGGTACACCTGTGTAGGCCAGAAAGTGTTGGTCTGCTATTCAGGGGTAGGGGAGCAAGGATGCACTGGACTAAAAATCAAACCATCCCGGCTCAACATCCTCCATTTGCCCTTGAGCCTTGATCTCCTTATCTGTGGTATGTGCCTGAAGAAGCCTAAGTTCCTGAGGAATGTGAGAAATGTTTCATCCTACTCCACCCCAACCCTTCACCGCCCCCACCCGCCCATCCCCACACCACACACCAAACCCCTCCACACCCCCGCGACTCCACCATAGCATCCTTAAGAAGAACAGCTGGCCTCCAGAAACGGGTATATCAATGTCACACTGTGACCAAAAACCAGCCACCTAACCTAAGTAAACTGTTAGCTTTTGAGAAGGAACGTGGGTGGAAGACTTGAACTGGTCATGAGTGCACAAATAGCCAAGTGGCCGAGGTGTGGCAGAGTTGTCCTGTGCCCTTGAGCCAGAACCAACCCATAGCTGACCCTCCAGCCAGTTTTCAGAGGTGGTAATATCCAATGGGAGGAGATTGCCAGTTGGTGAATTCAAACGTTTCTTTGGGCTTGCAGTGCAGCTTCTTTACCACTAGGCCATCAGAGCTTTCTCAGAATGACAAAGAGGGGCAATAATAGTCCCTGAGGCAGGGAATTGGGGACCTTGCTTTAAAGTTGAGAATAATAGGCACACTAAATTTACTTGGATCATTATTTCTTGAAAGGAAGCTTGGCTGAGCATCAGTGATCATGATGAGGCCCAAAGGCACACCCAGCCACCTTTTGTGTAGCAGTTGACGATGTTAAAAGTTTTGGAGTTGTCAAAGAAACTCTGGTAGAAATACTTTAGAGTCTTTAGAATTCTTACTAGCTTGGTTATCACCAGAAATGAGAACATAGTGTCAGACCCCCATGAATTTAAGTGATGGGATTCTGCTATACCAGATCTGTCTTTAAAAAAAAAAAAAAGAAAGAATTTGCCTTTGTCAGACGTTAGCTATGGGCTGGTTCCAACTGTACAGTACACAACAACAAGAACAAGAACAATTTTATGTTTAAATACTTGTAGATCTGCATGTAAGGGCAAGAAATAATAGAGATGCTGTGTACCATTTGCACTTTTCCTCAGTATATTCAACAAAACACTCGAGCTCTAATGGTGTATAGTCCATGAGAAATTACACTGCTTACCCAAAGATAGCACCTCTCTGGCCCTTTTAATCCACTAGCAATTCTGAGGAAGATGGGCAGTCCCCTCCTGTGTGATTTGTTGTTAGATGCCATCAACTGGACAGTGACTCATAGAAACCACAAGAACAACTTTGTCCTATAGGAACATTGAGTCAGTTAAAAATGATACTTCCCGTCACAATTTTACTATTATCATACCCAAAAATTCACTGCAGTCAAGTCACAACCAACTCATAGCTGACTCTCCATTGGGTGTCTGAGGCTGCCCATCGTTCTTCCATGGAGCCTCTGATAGGTTTGAACCACCAGAGAGAGACAGGCACCCTTTGGTTTAGCAGTATAACTCCCTATGGACTAAACCTCTAGAAAGCTCTCAGGAAGGAGCACAGATACAGTTAAGACAAAAACATTTCTTATCCCGGCAAGAATACTTTTGTAGCCACATCTTTCTGTCCTATCCCCTCCTCTCCATGATCCTTGCCAATACTGCTCTGTTCTCTATTCCTCTAATTTGATCATTTAAAGAATCTTACGTAAATGGAAATCTTATTGTATAATGCCTCTTAGGATATGCTATTTTCATTCAGTGTAACTCTTTGGAGACAAGACTTGGTGTTTCCAGAGTCTGTTCCTTTTTTATTTGCTGAGTAGTAGTCTGTTATACGTATATTATCCTATTACTAACAGTGCTGTGCTTTAGGGTTTATCTTTTTGATAATGACTGCGATACTGTTCTTCAGTTTTCATTCCTGGTATAGCAGACCATGTGATGATTTCATTCAAAATGGCCAAAAGCCATTTCAGCTCAATCTTTCAGGCTATCAATCTTCAAACACTCCTTTTGGACAACATCCCATTTTTCTTGATTCATATCTTACATATTTCACATACCAGTTACTAACAAATATTTATAGCTATTTCTTCTCATTTTGAGTCATGCCACATCAGCAAATGAAGGTTCTGGAAAATGTACTTTATACACATAACTAACGCTGACCCTACTCTGAGAAAATAATTCTCTCTTAACTGTGTTGAGTCTTCCCATCTGAGAGACTCTTCTTCAGGTGTTATATCAGATAATGTTCCACGTTGTCAAGATTTCCAGTGACTTGCATTTTCTTCCTTAGAAGTAGATCATCATGTCTTTCTGAACTTGTAAAAAGAATATAAGCAGTATGAGGATAACAGAGTCTGACCTCTGTTAACTTTGCAAAGGGGAACTGTCCTCATCCACAACATTCACAGAACAAAACTAATTCCTATAAGGTCAGACACAGTCTCCCACATTCCTGTAGCTACTTTAACGAATACTGATACCAGTCGAATTGCTCTCTGGGGTCCAAAAGTCATTGTAATGACTATACGGACTTTATAGAACCATATTCATGGTTATAGGGCATATTGGAGTAGTTTACAGGTTATAACTCAGGTTGGCAGCAGGATAATATTCCTCATTCCAGACAGCTTTTCAAGTGTAGTCACAGGCGCTTTGTTCATTTAACTTCCCAGCTTAGGTCAATGTTACAAAGTTCCCTTTGTCCTGCAGGTGATGAGGTCTTCCCTCAGTCTTTCAGCAAATGTGAATGAAGACCTCTGGCTCTGTTCCCTGGAGGAATAAGTCCCAAGTCAGCTCTGTCTCTGTTAGTCTCCAGCTCTCTGCAGAGGCTGTTCTTGCTCTCCTATAGATCCCGGTCTGGCTGGTAGAGGACTCTCTGGCTCTAAAGGATATGAGCTGTTTCCTCTTCCTTGTTGGAGTTGAGATTCCCGATTTCTGTTGCTGAATCTGCTCAATTTAATGGCAAAACTAGTCAACCCTCTTGTGGATAGGCTAACACAGTTTATTTGCCTGTTCCCATCCAGCCACGTGGCAAAGTCAGTAACTAGGAAAGCCATTTTGAACCATAAAACCTTGACACCACACCTGTTCTTCCTAGGTGATCTTACTGGTATTTGAAATACAGACAGCATAGCTTCCAGAATCACAACAATGTCATGCCATCACAGTGTGGCCAGAACAGTTTTTAACCGTCTCAGGAAGTGGATTACATTTGAGAAGGGAATATATTTAAAGAAAAAGTTGAAGATCTTCTGAAGGTATTGACCAAAAAATAAGACCTAAAGCAAAATT